TTTATTGCCCCTTCCTCTCATTTGAATGAAAGCCTTGACTGTCTCCTTCAAGGGGAAGAGGGTGGCTGCTTTCCCTGGGACTCTGCTCCCTCAAGAAGCTTTGCTAGAATATTTTGGGCATCTTCCACCGCATCATCAAGAAAGCTGTTTAGAAGATAGTATGTGACCGCATACGAACTCGCTCCACCAAACACAGACCCGATAACAGGTACAAAAGTAAAAAAGTAAAAGCCATTTCCACAATCGACACATTTACCCAAAGAGCTGACTTCTTCAACAGAGAAAATACCATTTATTTTTTTTTGTCTATTGTGCTGACTAATGGGGTTTTCTTGATAGCCGACCTCAACTCTTCGATTCCTTTTCCCGTCTGACGTGCAACAAAATGAAGGCTCTGGTCGTCTAAGCCAAACGCATTGCAGATACGTTTCAGAGCATCCAGCAATATTCCAATTCCACAAAACATAGAGAGACCTGGAAATCTCACTATTCCATAAACTCAATCCAACAACCTAGGTCAGGCCTCTCGCCCTACAAAACAAACAAGCAAAGCAGCCAAACGCAACACAAAACGTATAACCAGAGAAGGAGAGTGACTTCAACAAAACAAGACCAAATCCTGAACCTTACCAAATTTCAGACACATCATCTATAAATAGACAAGATTTCACACCGTTCAGTAGTTTTTCTTTCTGTTTTGGGCAGGATAGTTGATGGAAATCTCACTGGAGGCTTACTTAATGATTCCAGAGGCCATAAAGAGAGGCAGAGGCATCGGCAGTGGGAGATGGATAGATGTAAAAATGAGCAAAGGAAGTGGTTAGGCTGTCCCAGTCTGTAGGTAGGGATCCCACTACTGAAGCCATAGAAGAGATGGAGGCAGAGCCTCCAAGACAAGAAGCAAAGAATGGAAAATAATAAAGGAGAGGAGCAAATTTAGAACTAAGGAAAAATTTCCTTAGAATGATCAACCAATGGAACAGCTTTCCTTCAAATGTAGCGGGTGTTCCATCACTGGAGGTTTTTAAGAAGAGATTGGACAGCCACCTGTCTGAAATTGTATAGGATCTCCTGTCTGATCATGGGGTTGGTCTAGATTCTAAAAGATTTCCAGTGTCCCTTCCAACTCTGTTAAGTTTAAAGATAAAAAGTAAAGGTTTCCCCGCCCCAATCCTGTCCACCTCTAGGGGGCAGTGCTCATCTCTGTTTCCTAGCCAAGAGAGCCAACATTGTCCGAAGACATTTCCGTGGTCATGTGGCCAGCATGACTATATGCCAAGGCGCACAGAACACTTACCTTCTCATGAAAGTGGTACCTAGTTATCTGCTCACATTTCCATGTTTTCGAACCATTAGATTGGCAGGAGTTGGGAGAGGCAATGGGAGCTGTCCCCACCGCACCAAGCTTGGGTCTCAAACCCAGGCTGTCAGCTTTCCAGTTCACAAGCTCAGCGTCTTTAACCACTGAGCCATGGTGCTCTCCCCACAGCCTCTTTATTATATAAAAGTATCAGGAGAAACAAGAAAGAAATGTATTCATGTAACCTTACAATAATGTAGAATTCGCTGTGTCTCCCATACCTTTAGAATTGGTGTACTAATCCTAACCCTAACCCAGCCCTAAATGTGTTTGCCCCCAATGGGATTTTCCCATGTATTTTACCAGGAACCAGATAGGGTGGACTAGAAAAGTCAGTGCCCTCATAAGCTTACTTAGGCTTACTTGGGTTGTGAATCCATTGGCGATGACCATTTTGTTGTCTGAAATCAAGGAGACCCAACCCTGATCCTAAATGGGCTTTCTCCTCCAGTGGGATTTCCCCATGTATTTTATATGGAAAGACAGGGCAGGGTTGAAAAGTCAGTGCCCTCCTACAGTTACCGATGGGCTATGAATCTGTTGACAATGTCCATTTTGCTGTCTGCATTCAAGGAGACCCAATCCTAACCCATCTTATCTACATTTTCTGGTAAAATATATGGGAAAATCCCATTGAGGCTAACCCAGTTAAGGTTAGGTTAGGTCTCCTTGAATTCGGAAGAGGGCTTATATTTAAACTGAGCTTATTCTGTAGCATTCTTGGTGTTCTGTGACCTTGGCTGTTAGCTTGCAGCAGTGATCATGTGACCATGTGACCTGGTAGGGTAATGACTCTTCTTCAAGCAAGCAAGGAAGTTGAGAGATTATCTAAGCCTCTACAGTTCAGCCCTGAGCTACAGAGATTCTCTTTGATTTGTGCTTATTTTGTCTGCTTTTAGAGAGTCCTTGCCTTTCCTGTCCTCAGCCAAGGGACACCCAGACATCTTTGTTCACAGCCCCATCAACCATTTGTTGCTCAGTTTGTAATTGTGTTGACGAATGTGAACAAATTGCAATTTAGTCCAGTAGCTTCTAGCAGCTTCTGTTGGTTGGCCCTACAGTTTGATCAACCAAGTCCTGCATCGGAAACCTCCTTTTGAAATTTGTTTTATTTAAAGAGGACATGCATTTCCAAGAAAAAATATGGGACAGGCAGATAATCACTGAAGTTATACAATTAATGCTCAGTATAAAATTAATTAGACAACCCAAGTAAAGTACATTGAGTAGTTTTCATCATATTTTTTAAAAAGTATTATGAATTTTGTAGCTTTTGTAACTATTTTTTCATTTATTATTGTTAAAAGTAGAACAGAAAAAAAAATTGTAGCTTCATAGTATAATTTCCACTATTTTATTATTTTTGTTACAAATAGAGCAAAAAAAGTAAGAGAGAGAAAATAAGAAAAGCACCCCCTCCAAAACAATGTGTGCATGTGTGTGTGTGTATACACACACAAACACACACACACACACACACATATATATACATACATACNGTGCAACAAAATGAAGGCTCTGGTCGTCTAAGCCAAACGCAATGCAGATACGTTTCAGAGCATCCAGCAATATCCCAATTTCACAAAACATAGAGAGACCTGGAACTCTCACTATTCCACAAGCACAAGACACTAACGCTACCTTCTGTATATATGATTTCATCAGCTCTTTTTTCACCGCTAATTCTTTTTCTGAGAAATGATGCACAGCCAGTGTTAAAATCTGCTTCTTATAGTCAGGAAGTTCAGCGGCTATTGTCTCTTGCAGGCGAGGGAAATCATACTTGTCTACCTTCCAGTTGGAGATCAGAAATACTCTTGCAGAAAGATCACCTGCCTTACTCAAACTATCTTCACAATAGCGCCTTATCTTTGCCAGGGTTTCCTCCATATCGAAATTCCTTTTCCTCTTTTCACTTTCGATACTGATATCTATTTTGCTACGTACATAATAAAACTTCTTCTTCGTTCTGTGTATTTCTTCTGCCAGCAAAGCATCGTTTTCAGTAAAGCGGTCAGAGGTAACCATAATAAAAACATCATATGTTTCAAATTGGATCTTCTTCAGATAATCTGCTGCCTTAAAGTTATCTGTTCCGATTCCTGGAAGGTCCCATATTTGGATTTGGGGGGAAGAGGGGTGGGGATATGCCTTTGGATCCTTGGTTTGTTCTACTATCCCGGTCTCAGCTGCTTCTTCATCATCATCCCTTACATCCCGGATGGCATTGACAAAGGAGGATTTACCCGCACCTACCGACCCAGCAACTGCAATATTAAGGGGCAGATTTTGCATTTCATTCAAATCCTTTTGGTACTTAGCTGCCAGTTCAGGAACACTGCTTTGACTCAAATCTCTCCCAAATTCTTCAAATTGTTTTGAGAGAAAATCCTTTGTAATTTTATTGCCCATTGTTGCTCTTTGTCCTGTGAAGATTATCTGGAAAGGAAAAGAGACATTGGGATGCTTCTCATCTATGTCTGGCATTTTGAACTTTGGGGTTGAAGAACCACCCTGAGAATACCACAAACAACCAAGAAAACAAACCAGTAGATCATCAAACAATTCAACCCAGAGCTTTCATGGAGGCTGAAATGTCCAGGCTCAAATTATCTTACTTTGGACACATGCTATGAAGACCCAGCTCTTTGCAGAAGGCTCTGATGGTGGGAAAAGTAGAAGGGAAGAGAAGAAGAAGATGTCAGCCACTAAAGGGATGGACTCCTATAGAGTGACAATGAGTGCACCATTTAGGAGTCTTGAGAGAATGGTTTAGTTCAGGGGTGTCCAACTTGGGAACTTTAAGACTTGTGGACTTTATGGCTGGCTGGGGAATTCTGGGAGTTGAAGTCCACAAGTCTTAAAATTCCCAAGTTTGGACACCCCTGACTTAGTTAGAAACTTTCAAGGAGTAGATCTATCTATGTGGTCACTAGAAGATGAAGATTACTTGATGGTACATAATATATTTAAATAAAAGAACAATAACCGGAGAGGGAGCCTAACTTTTGAAAGAAATTGAAAGTGAAAAATATCATATCTCTCCGCTCGTCCCTCCTGCCTACAAAGCTCTAGTCTCCAAATCGTGGAAGCCTGATTATTATTTCAGCCCTTCCCTCCTTCTTGCCTCTAAGACAATTAAGGAGGAATCAGTTTCTTTCTAATGTTCATTTCCTCTCTGAAGTAAACTGAAGTACTTTCGGTCTTCAAGACTGCGTTAATGTAATCTT